TGAGAGCTCTTGACCTCCCTCTCCTCTCTCTCCCAAGCAAGCATGCCCTCCACTCTCCTAGCAATATTCACAACCTGCTGGTACAAAATATCCATCTCCAACTCCTGGGCCATGCTATTCCTGATGCTGGGATGGAGTCCCTCAATAAACCGACGAACCCTCTCTCGAACTGTAGCAACCAAGGAGTAGTGACGAGGAACAGTCAAGACACCTGCTGGACTAAATAACCTGAACAAAATATAAGTATAGTACTAACAGAGTACGATATCTCTATAAAACAACGCATAATGACGACGCTAATATGGTACTTGAAATGAAAAATAGAAACGACAACTAACAGCGGAATTCAACAAGTAATAACACAAAAGGTAAACTGAACACAGTCTAAATCCGGCAATCACAATTAAGAGAAGAACATGTAGCAACTAGATGAGAGTAACCACTTTCACATAAGGTTTTATCCAATAATCATCACGAGGTACCAACCCCATAATTTTCACAAGTCACGGGTCCCACTTTTTGAACCCTAAACACTTGGCATATTGTGCCCTCATTTCAACTAGTATTGCACGGACGAAGCTCATGCCAATATAACCATTTTCACATTGAGGGCAAGTAAACAAGGGTGTGCATCAATACTCAACAATATCAAGATCTATCCTCTTAACCGATAGGAGTGATTAACTACGTATATACTTGTGCAAGTGTTCTAACACAGTTCATGCAAGCTAGTAAGTATAGAGAAAATCGACAACACGTAAAATATTTCTCCACAATTTTCCACAAGATAAAACTCACACAGGTAAGTGCGCTACTACAAAAATATCAACAACAAGAATGCCCCCGAGCCATCACAAGTCATCGCAAATCAATCCTGACATAGCCCACCTTATCTCGCCACGTGTGCAATAATAAAGTAAATGCCCGCCTTGTCTCGCCACACGCGCATAATAATATTCCCACCTTGTCTTGCCACATGCGCAAACACACAAATATAGCCCGCCTTGTCACCAAGCATGTGCAAAATTAACAATAACAATAACATGACAGAAATCTTGTGCAACACAACCCTAACCGCATGGCAGAAACCTCGTGCACCACAACAGTGAGTACCACAACCACAATGACAATAACACAAGAGTACGACAAGTAAATCAATTCAAGAGCTTTCGATCGCAAAGAAACGGTAGAACTAGTTCACAAGGAACAACCACAATAAAGAATATTAGTCATAATAAGAATAGCTCAACAAGGGAGAAAATAATATGTAACACCGTTCCCACAAGGTACTGTTCAACAACAAGGGAGATAACACGAGTCAATCATTCCAAATAAGGATAAGTCAACTAAGATATAGTATATCTAAACTTCTTTTAAGGTTGAGCAATTACGAAAGAGATACAACAAATTCAATTAAGGATAAGCAATGGAAAGATAATCATAACCTCAATTAAGGATGAACAATTACAGAAGAGATAATTGTACTTTCAATTAAGCAGAAGCGATTAGGGAGGGATAGCATGGCGTTAGAAGAGGTAACAATTTTAGTTAAGTCACATAAGAGTTAAATAGGCAATAAGGGTGGATCATGAAGCAACGAATTCCAATTAAAATAAGTAGAGGTGAAAACTAGTAAATGGGAACTCAATCATAGCAAAACAACTTCAAATCTAGTGAACATAAAGACCTGAGAACCCTAAAATGTCAACTTTCCACAAATAAGCCCGAGCACGTACTCGTCACCTCGTGTACACGGACTTTGCATGATACAATTAGCATAGAAGACTCAAATCCTAAGGGGTAGTTCCCCCACATGAAGTTAGGCAAGATACTTACCTCAAAGAAGACGGACCGATACTCTAAATGACCGTCTCGAGTGAAATAACCTCCGGACGTTCCAAATCTAGCCAAAGTAACTTCAAAGCATAAACTCATAAGAAACTATTTCGGATCATAAAGCCTCAATATTTATCAAAAACTAAAAATCAACCTAAAAGTCGATCCCTGGGCTTGCACCTCGGAACCGACAAATTTCACAAAACTCGAACACCCATTCCGATACGAGTTCAGCCATTCCAAAATTATCGAATTCCGATACCATTTCGTCCCTCAAATTATCAATTTTCATTTTTTTGAAAGCTTTCTTCAAAATCCCCATTTTTCCTCAACTCAAAACACAAATTATAAGATGAAATTAAAGATAGAATCATGCAATATAATAAATTCTAACTGAAGAATACTTACCCCAATGATTGGCTTGAAAACCTCACGAAAATTCTCCCAAACCGAGGTCTAAAACTCAAATTATGGTGAAAATGGCCAAACCCTCGATTTATATGATTCTGCCCAGGACTTCCGCATCTGCAGACAAAGAAACGCATCTGCACGCTCGCATTTGCGAGAAAACGTTCTCATCTGTGAACTCAGCTAGCCAGTCCTGGATCCGTATATGCGGAATTACAGCCGCACCAGCGGCCCTGCAGAAGCGCCAAAGAGAATGTAGAAGCGAGCTTCTTCGCAGGTGCGATCGTTGGACCGCAAAAGCGGCCTTCGCACAAGTGTGCCGGCCTCCACAGAAGCGAGCGAGCTCCCAGGCCACTATGAGCGCAGAAGCGACCAAGCTCACGTAGAAAAGGAGTCGCACCTGCGCTCCAAAGTGTCGCAGGTGCGAAAACACCAGAACCAGACCTGTTCAAAACCATGAAAAACATCCGAAGCTCGTCCGAAACACGCTCGGGGCACAGGAACTCGTCCAAGCATACCAACAAGTTCCATACCCTAATACGGACCCGCTCGAGGTCTCAAATCACATCAAACAATGTCGGAACTACGAATCGCACCATGAATCGGACTTATGAACTTCCAAATTTTCCAACTTCCAAAACTCGAGTCAAAACCGATCAAATCAACCCGGAATGACGTAAAATTTTGAAGGCAAGTCCCAAATGACACAACGGAGGTGTTCCAACTCTCGGAATCGCATTCCAAACCTGATATCACCAAAGTCAACTATTGGTCAAACCTCTCCACCTTCCAAACTTCAACTTTTTCAACTTTCGTCGGAATACTTCAAATAACCCTACTAACCTCCAAATCCGGATGCATGCCTAAGTTCAAAATTATCATACGAAGCTATTGAAATCATCCAAAACCCATCCCGGAGTCGTTTACACAAAAGTCAAATTTCGATCAACTCTTACTGCTTAAGCTTCCAAAATTAGAATCCTTCTTCCAATTTGACTCTGAATCATCCGGTAACTGAACTCGACCACACACGCAAGTCATAACACATAATACGAAGCTTCTCAAGACCTTGTGCCGCCGAACGGGACTTAAATTCTCAAAACAACCAATCGGGTCGTTACACAATTGTGGGATTTGACCGATCTACAACTTAAGTTTTAATATAGCACTGTATCTTATAGCACTATACATTTTGCTTTGAATTGTGTTCTAGCGTGTTGGATGCCGATACTTAGACTCGATCGCTCACACATTAAACTCAATAATATCTTGTCAGTTAAAATCAAGAATTATGAATGTTAACTAAAGTGATAAAAATGTATATCCTAGGTTAATCGGATATAATTGAATTTTTGATTGATCCACTGGTCAAGTATCCGAGCAAATTACTAATTAGGTGATCGAGAATAACTGGATTATCACATAGCAAATCGATTGTATAATGTAATTACTGTCAATTGATCCACTGGTCAACTATAAAGGATGCCACATCGTTGAAAACCTAGATTATCACATAGAGCTGATACAATTCGGCGGTGTCGCGTCTATATATATTTACCAATATAAATTATATAACACACACACACACACATACACACACACACACACATATATATATATATATATATATATATATATATATATATATATATATATATATATATATATATA